AAAAAAAAAAAAAAAAAAAAAAAACCGATTTTGCGGTAACCTCCAAATTCCTCAAATCCACGGCCAGGCAGGCCGCCGACAAATGGGTTTGCGAATGGGGTGTTTGGGGTCGGAACCATTGTGTGTGACCAGCCGTGTGCACATTTTTTTGGGAGTTTTACGGTTTTGGTACCCAGTGTGAGCGTGCCCTTAGTTTAGAAAACGCAACCGTGTGACACCATTTTGACATTAATAAATTCGAAACAAAAAATTAAAAAACTGAAAAAAAACGTTAGAAACAGTTTTTTCTCCTTATTTTTGATGAAGTAACTCGGAGAAATGAAACACATCTATGTCTTGGTTCATGGAGACATGGGCTCTACAGGGACGGCTGGCTACGATTAGTATCTTCTTCACGAATGCGGATCTGGTGGAAGCCACTGTAGAGGTCAATCTTGGTGAAATATTTGGCTCCACAGAGGCGATCAAGAAGTTCGGAGATGTGGGGTAGTAGGTACTTGTTCTTGATCGTGATCCGGTTCAAGGCGCGGTAGTCTGTGCACATGCGGAGTTCAGAGGTGTCGTTTTTCTTGACAAAGAGACAACTAGTACCGAAGGGTGATGAGCTAGGCTTAATGAATCATTTTTCAAGGATTTCATTGAGTTGCCGCTCCATTTCCTCGGCGTCGAGGACGGAGAGTTGGTATGGTGGCTGACAGGGAGGAGTGTGGCCAAGTTCTAAATCGATGGTGTGAGAGACGCCACGCTCGGGGGGTAGACCAATGGGCAAGGACTTGGGAAAGACATCCTTGAATTTTGTGAGGAGGGAAGTGATGCATGGGTCGGAAGGAGGGGCTTGGTCTGGCTTGTCCGTAAGAAGCAGGTCCTCGGGACGCTCATGATCAATGATGAGGCAATAGTAGGTGGAGTCGGGATATTGGTGGGTCATATGGAGGAGCTGATGAGGGGAGACGGGGGGTGGGGTAGTAGGGGGAAGAAGGTAAGAGATGTCGAGGGTAGCGTCAGGAGGTTTAGTAAGGCGGAAGAAGTTCGAAGAATGGTGGATGGAATGAGTAGGGCATATAATGGTCAAGCCAAAGGGTTCCCGGGACAATGTCGCACACGAGGTGCATGGCATCGAAGGAGATCTGACTGCGAAGAGGACCGATAGCCATGGTGATCTCGGGAATAGTGCGATCGGCAACGACGGTTAAGTCCTTGTCCCCTAGTCGGAGAGTAATCGGGGAGTCGTAGCCGGTAGAACAGAGCCCGACTTTGCGGACACAAGTGTTGATGATGAAGTTGTCGGTGGCACCTATATCAAGGAGGGCCCGAAACTTTATCGTATTTGCGCCAAGAGAGACGGAGACAAACTTGAGTTGGAATTGGGTGGTTCCGGCATAAGTAGAGGAGATCACGATGTTGAGGCGGTGTTGCTCCAGACCTAGTCTAACAAGTCGATCGTGTCGGGCTTAATCCTCGACAACATCAGAGAACGTGATGGAAGAGGGATTAGCAAGAAGAGTGGAAGAGCACGTGCCAGTAGGAAGCTCGACCGACCGAATGGGGGATGTCGTTGGGAGAGGAAAGGCGGAATGGATTGTGATGTCTGGGGGTCGTCCAGTGGGATATGCGTCACCGGAGGGGGGGTAGGCAGGCGGATTGTGAATGCCAAATGGGCCATCGGTGGAATGCAAGTCATCACCGATGGTGGGGCCGACAAACTTGTTGTTGATGCCGGGTGGGGATCACGACAGTCTAGCGGACAGTGTTCATGTCGGGGGGGACAGGATCACGCGGTGGGGGGTGGAGTGGAAATCACGGGTCGGGATGCCGCAGACTGGGGTGCCTGTCGAGTGAATTGGCTGGTGTTGGGGCAGTTTGTTTGTTGGTGTCCCAACTGGCGGCAACGGAAGCAACCACCATTGGCTTGGAGGTAGCTGCGTTCCTCCGGTGTGAGTTTCTTGAGACGGGGGGGTGGGTGGAGGAAGATGGTCGAGCCATGCAGTCCTTACATTCCATAAGCAAGAGCTGGATGGTGTTGAGTTAAGCTTTTCTTGCCCAAGTCACAATAGGTTTTTGACTAGYTATAATAGATAAATCTTTTATTGTTCCTTGGACACCGGGAACGAGAAGTCAGAGATGGTGTCGGGCTCAACGAGAGGGGTTGTGAACTCGTTCGAGGAAGTGGTGGAGGTGGTGTTGTTGTGAAAGAAGCGGGGTCGGGAAGGGGCTGATGTGAGTGCGGGTTTGTAGGGGGAGAGGAGGCGGTCGGTTTGGAGGGCGCAAGTAAGGAGGTCAGCGAGGGTCATGGAAGGCTCGTGGACAAGGGTTGCCGCTAGGTCCTTGCGGCATACCCGCTTGACGCGGGAGATAAATGCGGTGTCGCTGATGACGTCGATGGGGATGCACTGGCGAAGCGAGCGGACGTATTGAACAAAACGGTCGGTTGGCCCGTTTTGGAGGAGCGAGAAGAATTGGTCGAGGTAGTCGTCGACCGTCTTCTGTGGACAGAAGGTGGAGGTGATCATGGTGGCTCACTCAAGGAAGAAGTGAGGTGAAAGACTGGCATGATGGCGGTTGGACATTTCTGTGTACCAACAACGAGGGGCGCCTTCTAGGAGTTTGGTGTCGGCGATGGGGAACCAATGGATGACTTGAACGTTGTGGAGGGAGAAGGCTTGTTGGAGTTTGGTGAGAAAGAGGAAGACGTCCTCATGGGGTTGGTCGAAGAAGGTGGGGATCTCGTTGGCAGGGAATGATGGAAAGATATTGCCAACTTTGAGGGCAGTGGCGGCAAGGGCGTTGAAGTCAAGGGTGGGGGAGGATCCGGGTGAAATCGTTGGTGGGGTTGGTGGGAATGAGAGCGTTTGGGGGAAGTAGTGGAAGAGCGGGGTATAGGGCTTGTGGTGCCGGAGTGATCTCGGTATAGGTGGGGAGGGTGGAGGTGATGGTGGACGAAGTCAAGAGAGGTTTTGAAGACCAGAAAAAACATTGGTGCACAATCACGAAAAAAAAAAAAAGGAAAAACAAAAAGCGACAAATTCGCAAACTCCTGGTGCAACCTCAGATGCATACTAGCAACTGCTGACAAGTGATAATTTGATGAAAGATGACTGAAAGCATCAATGCCAAGCATGCCTCATCCGATGAAAAAGTCAATCATAGCTTTGCATATAGCTCAGAGGATAGCTAATCCAAGAAAACACAGTGATCACTACCACTTCAATCCTCACAAATTACCCTCCTTTCAAATTCCCCCCTAAATGCGCGTGAGACCAAGTCACCAGCCTACAAAGTGGAGCGATCAATTGACATAACAGATAACTGCAAATCAGTCAACTCCTTGCATAACCCCTGGCACACACACACACTCAAGTAGTAGTCTATATTCCCGCGTTTTAGCGGTAGATTCACTCGATTTTTTTGTCCATCACATCGATGGTAGCAGTGGGGAGTCACGGCGAGATTGAAGACTCACCCCTGTTCTCTCTCCTCCTTCCTTACGCAACACGATCCGTCACGATGTGCCGCATACCGAGACGACAACGCAGGGGACGACGGGCATTAGCGCACATCCAACAAGTCGTGCGGATGATGGGCACACCTTCACAGCGCCATCGGTGGATGCATCGCACATCCCGCATGACTCCTCCTTCGTGCAGGTTAGTTCCTTCTTACCTTCACTCTTCCCTCCTTCTACCCCTTCTCGCTCTCCATTCTTCTTCTTCTTCTTCTTCGTGGTCGTCGTCGTCGTCGTCGTCGTCGTCGTCGTCGTCGTCTTCCTTTTCTTCTCCAGCTTCTACCATTGCGCGCACGTGGCTTCGACCTTTGTACGTTTCTTCACCTTCTGCTCCGCGCTTACTGTTCTTCATATGCGCAAACATGTTTTCCCCCTCTTTGTGTTTGCTTTCTTTTCCGCATTGCGCAACCCTTCTTGTTGTTGCCCAAGCGTGTTTTTCGCTGCCTCATTGTGTTCCTCTCCTCCTTCGTGCATGTTTCCTCACGTCGATCTCTCCTTTCCCTAACCGGTCGTTTACGCCGCAGCCCTTCTTCGCGCAATCATCCCCCTCCTCACGCGGGTCATTACTCTTTCCGGCTTCTACTGTCGCTGCGCATTCTACTTCACGATTTCCACCACCTACCTCGCACTCTTCATTCCCCCTGCAT